TATGGTTGTCCTTCAACAGTACACTTAACCCTTGCTGCTCATTACACCTACCTAGAGTGTCATATAGTCGGGGTTTGGTATTACAATGTGACGAACATTGTGGTATTAGGTGGTATGACACTACAACGAGCAGGTGGAGATACAGACCCACAAGGATACGAACACATACATAACCTTCAACACGTATAGAGGCGCTAGAGAGGATCGCGTGGTGAGGCAGATCCCACCAATCCGGATTGCGTTGCATAATGCATGACTGTAATCCCTAAAATGCTAAGCGCCATTGAGAGTAATTCCATTAAGGATAGAAGAGGCCTTATGCAAACGTTGTATTGACGTGGAAGATGCAATAGAATGCATGCATTCTTAATTTGCAGGTTTAATGTTCTTTTAAAACGTTTGAAGCGAGATAGCACCTATATATATAGCAGCTTTAATGTGCAAGATAGTACATTCTGGCTAACATTATCATCAAAACTAAAAGAAACTTCATACTTAATGCTGTCTAATACATGAGTGTAATTATTATACTTGTTGATCCTCGAGCGTTAATTTGATCGTGCTGGTGCTTGGTTACCTGACGGTATAAGTATTGGAGCCTGTTGTACAAGCTTAGTGTGTTATACACAACAGTAGTCGTGTACAACTAGCCAGGTCAAGCGAACACGATCAGAACTTTTTCCACTGTTACTTAAAACGTACAGGTGTTCGTAATTCATATATATAAACTAATCTCCCGAAGCCGTATCTTTATTGAATCTTTCAACTCCGTCAGTTTTGACATTTACTATAGCAGTCCAGTCGTCGTGGGTTCGAGGATGTTATTTCCAGGCCCGGAATTGGGGGGAAAGGCCTCTGGTAAATAAGTAGGGTAAAAAAATTACGTAAAGTGTACCATAACGCTAAACTATATTAGAACCGTTGTCACTGTTGTAAAATATTTCAAAATGAGTATCACATAAACAGCTCATGTTGGCGATGCCTTATACGGGATTATAGTTGTTTGAAAATTGAAAGGTTGAAAATAGATGAAAGCAAACAGAAAACTGAGGAGTCATTTTACTACTAGCTTATCTCCCCCTAGTTTAGAACTTAGGATCAGACATCCAAGTGATCAAAATTATTAGAGTTAGTTTTTTCTTAATTATTTAATATTCTAGAGACGGTGGCCAGGATATCCATTTGGTTGCGTCATCATAGACCTGCATGAAGTATAGAGTAAAATACACTTGTGACCTTTAATTTGTCATGGGACTGCACTTCCGAGATTCTTGGCATATTGTATCTCGTGATAATCACGCTGTTAGTCCTTGACATTTCAATTTGATAAATAATAAAATGTCTTTTGTTAGAAATTTGACTGATGTAGGGATTTTTGGAAAGAACCATTTTTAAAATCAATATCATAACAGATTAATTTATTTGCAATACCGTAATGCCAAAGTTATATTAAAGCAGGGAGTGTCCATATGCGTAGATTGCATCATTTTATTGCACACTCCATTTCATAAAACTCATCACGAACGTCAAGCGTACCGGAACTCCGTGTGTCCTGTAGACTGATCACCGGAAGTGCGCTACAGCGTGCACATCATTCTCGTAAACAACGTTCGTCTACGTCTACGGATGTGTGAAATTAATTAAACAATAAACGATAATCATGGGATTAGCATATTTACTTGAATGTAAAAATGATATAATCTAGTTTAAACTTAATAAATAAAGATTAGAAAATCGAAACTTGTCAAACAAATGTATAGTGTTAGAATGCTGCGAACAAAACTTTCAACAGAAGACATCAGAACTTACAAATGTACTGTTATACACTTTTATCTTCAATTGGTAACAATATGTACATTTTTAAATCTTGGAAACGAAAAGAAATCGTGAAACGCAAAAGGAAAATATCTCAAATAAATCCGAAATCTTGACCTTTAGTGCAATAGAAATATCGGGTTTGTCCGCGTCGAGAGTTTCTTATTAAACCCGTTTCAAAATAGATATAATATAGGGAATGATTACTGGGATTATTAATATGTATCTGATATAGACGATCCAGTGTGAAGAAACAACTCATCAAACCACTACCCTTTTAATTAATTGTTCACAAAAACATCACGTAGCTCTAACAGAGCGTTGTATTTCTACTTGTACTTCTCCTGTCACACACCTTGTCAGGAAAACTCCCGACACGTTGAAGAATATCGATACCAAAGCGCTTCCCTGAAGCCATAAAACAGAAATGCGAAAGGAAACTCGGATTAGAAATGTACTAGTTTGTCCTTGAGCAGATCTATAGTTTTAATCACAGGTGAAATTGTTTATCCAATAGATCAAGAATTATTAACTTTTCACAGCTAAAAACGCTGAAGGTCTGAACCTTGTAAGCTGTATACGTGGGATATTTTATCCTGTAATATATTAGTTTCACTGTGTTCAAAGACAGATGTGATCTATAGCTGATTTAAATGTCAAGACGTTGAACAAAACTAAAAACGCGGTTATTTAAGATTATATTTGAAACCGAATGTCAGCGGAAAATCATTTCTCAAAGTAAATGTCCATAAGAAATAGAAGAAGTAGTTAACGTTCAAAGGTGAAAAATCACGAGACGAAAATTTTCAAATAACTTTGATATTTGATGTTTAGGTAATGGTTCATTTAAAACTTTGGTATGTTTTAAAATGTCACCGTATACATTGATTTACAATGACACGCTATAAACTCAATTTACATTACCCAGATTTGTTTTTTACGTAATTTACCAAAACATATTTTTCAGAAATGTATACGCCGGCATTGCAACGTGTCTCCTTGGTTGCTTTGGAAACTAATATCGTAAACTAGGAATAACAATGGCGCTACAACAAGTGATAGAACCGCTAAAAGGGTCTCGAGTGCTCATTTGATCAAATTAAGTAACACGCTTATAACAATCACTGTTGCTGTGGAAATGGAAGTGTGCAGAGGGTCTTACTATAAGAGAAAATCGGAATACCAGCTTTTTTTGATTTTTTTTTACGTCCTATTAACAGCTATGGTGATTTAAGGGCGTGCAAGGTTTTGGTGGTGGAGGAAAGCCGAAGTTCCCGGAGAAAAACCACCGACCTACGTCCAGTACCTGGTGACTGCCCCACGTAGATCTCGAACCCGCAACCCAGTGGTGGAGGGCTAGTGGTAGCAGAATGCCAGACGCCTTAACCACTTGGCCTACGGGAATACCGGGAGAAACCCCAAAGTACATGTAGTCGGGCAGGTGATCTCCCTTACCTGTTCACGTCCAGTTCTGTACGGAATGATTGAATAAACCTGGGAAACCTTTCAATTTAAACCAGGTAATTGCGGTAAAAGTAAACGAAAAAACGTCTTAAAGGTATATTAAATAATATATAATTGCTAACCTTTTGAAATTACAGCCTGTTTAAGTTTTTTTTTTGTATGATTTATTTACCTCTGACAGCCTGATAATGTGACAGTGTAGGAATTCCGAGGTAGATGTATACGTTTATTTCTACGTAATTGATTATTGCATCTTGTAAACATTTTATATTGTAACCGTAGTTAAATTCAGATCCCAAAGTCGTTATTTCCATTGAACGCTGCTAGGACTGCAATAAAGTGTTTACCACTTGAAGTGATCAATCTGTTATTTCAATTTAATTTCTACTAAACTTTTAAACTTTATTGTCATCTATTATTCCCAAAATTGGTTTACTTTTAGTCAAAATACTAGTTTAGCATATATAATCTATACTGTTCTATTAATTAATACAATAGATACAACAGTTACAATACAATACATACACTACAAATTCGGTATATTTGTTCCTTGATACATTACCTTACCTAAAGATATGGGTTGTGAGGTTTTTAAAATCATAAACAAAATTTCTCCTGAATATATTCATAACCGTGTAAATATTCAGATGTCTAATTATGACTTCAGGAAGGAAAATACTGCAGAGGTGCCTAGGTCAACACTGTGAAGTATGGACATAAATCGTTTGCTTTTGAGGCCGCCCGGGTGTGGAACAGTCTCCCAAATGACTTCCGAAAAGTTGAAAACTTCAAAGAATTCCGGTGGCTGGTACATCCCTGGGATGGCCCCATCTGCCTTTGCAATATCTGCAAAGAGTGATACTTCATACTGTGCCCTGGTTACCTCTGCCACCTGACATTTTGGATTGTGTGATACTTTTATTGTCTTATTTCATTTCTGATGTTTTAATTCTATTCTATATTTTTACAGCATCTTATTTGTATTTTAATTCCATATATTCTAAAATATATTTTTTTTACAAAAAAATGTTAATTGATTTCGGTATCATTTTTTAATTCACACTATAATAGTGCATATTCTGTCAATCTTTATTCTTTGCTATATTACCATGTTTGTATATTCCATTTCATAGTGTTTTAATCCAAGTCGTAAGTAATTCTTGTGTGATATACAAGTATTCATTCACTATTAACTATGTCTATTATTTACTTATTCTGAATACTACTTATCTGTGATCACATTTAATGCTTTTAGGTAGGGGACTCCAAATCACTTAGAATCCTGGGATATGGAAACTTTCTTTTTCTGTGATGATTATTCCTGCTTTTTATTAATATATGAGATTATCTCCATTTACTTGAAATATAATACGTTATTGTTATTTTACATATGTTTGTCGCAATGATAGCTTTCAAGAGCTAATGTTCCTTGTTTACCTGTATGCGACGTTAAATAAAGTATCTTGTATCTTGTATCTTGGTGTTTAAAACCACTCGGTATTACCATAGTGTTAAACAAAAACTATGTTACATGTAAGTTGTTAAACGCCTGGTAATTTATGACGTGTCATTAACAATTGTTTATCGCAATTATAGCTCACCATTTGTGCCAAGAAAAATATAGCTCCTTGTATCCTGTAGGCAAATGCGTTCACCAATCGACATTGTTTACCACAATTTTTATGACGTCATAATACTTGGGGACGACACAATATTGGTGACGTCATTATCGTTCAACCAACAACAACATAAATGGCGGCGGCATAGTAGTGTGCAACGAACATACTTTCCTTACAGCAGGTAAGCCGGCTTGGTGGCCAGTACCGGTGAGTTCAGTGTCGGAGGATGGCTAAAAAGTTGCTATCCCTGCTTAAGTGTCCGCCAACTCAGAATATCAGTGTTCAGGTGACGGATCCAGACAAGATATACACCTGTATAAAGCAACTCCACCAAAGTACCGATCTAATGAAAGACATCTATGATGCATATTCCGGCACGGTTAAGTTTGGCGAAAACAAACTGCGGGAAACAGATGATACCCTGACGAAGATGGGTGTCATGTTGACCAATTTCGACTCGTCTCTAAACAAATGGGGAAGCCATCTACGAACAGACGCAGAACAACTTCGAGAGAAAGAACAGCGCTTGGAACGGTTGAAAAAAGAAGTCGAATTTGATAGGAATTGGTTGTTAGAAAAGCGGGAACAATTTCCAATGAAATTGCAAGATGATGACTATCAAAAGGCTATGAGAATCCAAAAGATCAGGGATTATCGTGAGGAGCGAGGTTTGCTAGAAACGAGGAATAAAAAGGCTGACGAACAGATAGAAAAGATATTAGAAAACATAGACGGTGCGGAGGAGAAATGCGATACTATACAGAAGGCACGAGGTGATCAAAGTCGGGCGCACAAGGCTGACCTCAAAAACCTGATGGTCGATTGGGAGGAGAGTAGAGGCAAACGAGAGCTCCTCCAATCCCTAGATATCCACCCTAAAACCTTGCTCTCGTCTCTGGCAGACAAAGAAGACTGGCGAGCTAAAGATAAGGAGTTATCTGACCTGCGGAAGGAACATGATCTGTTGCGAGAAAACGTCCAGGATCAGCAAGATCGAAAAGATATGCTGCGCCTACGCAATGATGAGCTACGGAGGCGAGTAATGCATAATGAAGCTGTTCTTCATAATCTGAGGGAGGAAGCAAAGGAAGAGCATTTGAGCAAAGATGGCACGTCCTACAAGCATGAAGATAGGCATGAATCTCACAGGCATGGAAGGAGTGGAGCATCCCATAGGCATCATGACAAAGAAGGGTCCTCTCATAGACACGGAACCTCCCAAAGACATCACGATCATGGTACATCCCACAGGCATCATAGCCACGGAAAGCCGCACAAAGACCACGATTATAGTACCTCGCACAGATATGGAAGCAGGGATGGTTCTCCTCCGAGGCATTGGAACAGGGATGGATCGCCGCCAAGGCATAGCCACAAGGACGGAACAACCCATCGACATAACAGGGATGGATCGCCGCCAAGGCATCGCCACAAGGAAGGAACAACCCATCGGCATGACAGGGATGGATCGCCCCCAAGGCATAGTCACAAGGACGGAACATCCCATCGGCATGACAGGGATGGATCGCCTCCAAGGCAAAGTCACAAGGACGGAAATTCCCATCGGCATGACAGTACAGCATCTCATAGGCAACGAAGCCGGGATTTATCTCCGCAAAGACATGTGAGCAGAGATGGGTCTCCTCCAAGACCCGAGAAAAGAGATGTATCTCCACCTAATAAACATGCAAACAGAGACGTGTCCCATGGGACCAGGGATGTGTCCTACGGACACAAAGAAGGGTCTCATGGAATAAGGGATGGGTCACATGAAAGCAGGGATGTATCTCCTCCCAGATATGGAAACAGGGAAACATCTCACAGAAGCAGTGAAGGGCCCCATGGAAATAGGGAAGGGTCCCCTCCTAGACATCAGGAAAATTTTGATACAACAATCAGGCGTGGGAGCAGAGTATCAGCATCAAATACAAGGAACAAGGACAGCTCTCCTCAAAGACACGGAAATAGGGATGTATCCCCTCCAAGAGAAGGTAACAGGGATGTATCCCAAGGAAACAAAGAAAGGTCCCCTAAAAGACACGAGAATAGGACTGTATCACCTGGAAACAGGGACGAATCTCCTGTTTTGCGCCCAGACAGTCATAAGGACGGCACAACACACAGACGTGGGAGCAGATTGACGTCACCTAAACCTGGGATAAGGGATGGTTCATCACACACAGGGATGGGCAGAGACACTGTATACGAGAACAGGGACGGAGGCTACCTCCAAGAACAACTTAGCTTGAGTCAGTTCGGCAGCCAGACGATCGTGGGGCACCAGTCGTCTGATGAGGACTTCACACAGCTGTGAGTAAACAGAGGATTCCAACTAGCAAACAGTCCTAAAGAACAGCCAGAACCCCAACACATGGACAATAGACACTGAGTGCTATCTCGTGTCCGAAAGGTCTATAAGAAAAAGTAAAAGAACATTCTCTCTTATCTTTCCTTTTTAGGTTTTTTGAGTATAACATTTATAGATTGGATAAGATCTAAAGAGCTTATTCAATCAATATGAACGATCTCTGTAATGATACTCTGTCAAGTACAGAAATGTACTTTTCTAAGACGTCTCACTAATGAGCATGTCCGTCCATTTTGTAGTTTTTATAGTTTTGTAATTCTGTGATATATGAATATATAATACATTGTTAAAAAAATGTTCCTTTTTTCGGATAGAGAAAGAATTTGCAATTCGGTTTAAAACCTAGCGTTTGACTAAAGAGCATGCGTCATGTACGCCACTTCCTGTCCATGTTTATGTATAATCTGGATTTCTATGTTATTTTGTGTATTTTGTATATTTCAACTTACTTTGCTGATGCTAGACCCGAAATCACAAACTTTTTAAGTTTAAAACCGTTCACATTGTTCAAAAGCAGTTTAATATTAGTGGTTGTGTTTTCATTGAATTGGTAAATTAGTTTTGCATTCTGTTAAAGAAATCATCTAACCATTTTAAAATATGAAATATAAGCAGGTTTAGTTAAACTGACTCTAAACAGTGTATCTAGAAGTATTTCTTGGATGTCGAAATACGAATTGTAGGTATTTATTTACACAGCACTCATATGAACTGTGGAAAATGTCGAAGATAAACTCCGAATGTGAAAACTATCTAAAGTATCTTATCTATAAACAAACATCACACTTGTACAATCTTAGTGGTTTTGCTGATTTTGAAACTTTTTCAAGTGCATATACCTGTATTCTGTGTCTCGTGTAACTAAGTATTTCCAAAATGTACTATCACCGAAATCGGACATCGTTTGAAGTCTTAGTGTTCAATGGTATCTTTGCAATTTTTTTTGCAATTGTTAGATTTTCATCGAAGATATTTTGTATCTTCCACGTGTCCATTTTCACAATTTTAAGAAATAAGAACCGTTCTATTTTCTGTTGCTGATATACAGTTATAGACAAGCACTGAGTTAACACGATTTACCGCTAAATCATTTGTAACTGAGATGACCTCTAACTGTTTGTACTCATGATCGTACGGTTGATATTGTCAGTATGTGTTAGTGTCAAATTAAACGAGCTTCAGATAGATGTGTGTCTTGATTAATTAATTAGAGGGTGTTACTCTGGACGGATTAATTAAAAGTCGTTACCTAGGACAATCTTGTCATATGATCCAGTTATAGTATAGTCTCCTCCAATGACACTTCCAAAAATAATATTACCAAATTGGTTAATGTTAGGAGAAATAATAAAACTAATTTGCATATAAATTGAGGATTTTCATTTTAAATCCCATTAGAAACTTATTTTTCTTGCAGTTTAAATCGTAATGGAAATAGCGCAAAAATGGATATTTTTTAGATGCAATACGTACAATGTGTGTCTATATGCGTTGCTTCTCGTATCAAAGACATTTGAATCCCACAAAACATAAATCACACATTTTACCAAGTTAATTGCTTATATACATTGGCCTATTCGCAGGCCTTTGTCTAAATGACATGCTACTAAGGGAACTTTACGTGAATCACGCTCCCCGGCCCTGACTCTACAATATCTTATCCTTACTAAGACATGAATGACATTATATAATTATATGACATAAAGTAACAGGGGGTGAGAGATTTACCCCGGTATAACTGTGTAGAGAGTAAGAGATGTACCCCGGTATAACTGTGTAGAGAGTAAGAGATATACCCCTATACAACTGTGCAGAGAGTAAGAGATGTACCCCGGTATAACTGTGCATAGAATAAGGGATGTATCCCGGTATAACTGTGCATAGAGTAAGAGATGTACCCGGTATAACTGTGTAGAGAGTAAGAGATGTACCCCGGTATAACTGTGCATATAGTAAGAGATGTACCCCGGTATAACTGGGTAGAGAGTAAGAGATTTACCCCTATACAACTGTGTTTAGCCCGGTATAACTGTGCAGAGAGTGAGAGATATACCCTGTTATAACAGGGTAGGGAGTATAAGATTCTCCCCAGTATAACTGTATATGGAATGAGATATATTCTCGCTGTTATTATGTAGAGAGAAAGAGATATAGCCGGGTATACTGTGTAGAGGGTGAGAGGTATACATGTACCCCGTTATAACTGGGTAGGGAGTGAGAGATAAACACCGGCATTACTTGGTAGAGAGAAAGAGATATACCCCTGTATAACTTGGAAGAGAGTGAGAGATATGCCCCTGTATAATTTCGTAGAGAGTGACATATATTATTCTATTATGGCCCTTTCCCGAGGGAACTGTTCTCTTATAGTGTTGTCTTGGGGTGCACTATACCTCTCCAGACAACACTATAAGAGAACTGTTCCCGAGGGAAAGGGCCATAATAGATTTAGTACATCACATGACTGTCATTTGACAATAAAAAGTAAAATATTTAATAATCAACAACAAATGTCTTTAAGATAATTGTTTGAGTAGATCTCTCCTTTTTTGTTGCGTATTCAATTCACTGGATTGAATCACCGCTATGTCACATACGGTTCCCCTTTCCAGTAGGAAGTCTGTAAGTACTGCGACGTCAAATGGTGTCGTCTGCTTCGTCTTTATGCATTGCTGAGCCTCTGCGAAGCAATCGGCATTCCTGGTCCCGAAATTCGAAGCCATTTTGGCAGACGACAACAATTAAGTGAAAGTAGAATATAAACGGTGCCCCCTCGGAGAAGGGGCGCAACTCTTAGCGTCACGCTACTTTTCCCGTATCTCAGCGGTCCAAAAAAAAAAAGGTATAGTGCCTGTCTCTAGGTATAGTTCCCGTCGTCAAGAGCGGATGCTAACTATACCAAATAGAACAAGGGTAGTTATCCAATAGCTATCCTAGAAATTATCATGTGATGTACTAAATCCGGGTATAATTGTGTAGAGAGTAAGAAATATACCCCTGTATAACCGTGTAGAGAGTAAGAGATGTATCCCGGTATAACCGTGTAGAGAGTAAGAGATTTATCCCGGTATAACTGTGTAGAGAGTAAGAGATGTACCCCTTTATGAAAGTATAGAGAGTAAGATATGTGCCCCGGTATAACTGTGTAGAAAGTAAGATATGTACCCTGGTATAACAGTGTGCAGAGAGTAAGAGATATACCCCTATACAACCGTGTAGAGAGTAAGAAATATGCCCCGGTATAACCGCGAAGAGAGTAAGAGATGTATCCCGGTATAACTGTGTAGAGAGAAGGAGATGTATCCCGGTATAACTGTGCAGAGAGTAAGAGATTTACCCCTTTATGAATGTGAAGAGAGTAAGATATATACGCTGGTATAACTGGATAGAGAATTAGAGATTTACCCCTGTATAACTTTTTAGAGAGGAAGAGATGTATCCCGGTATAACTGGGTAGAGAGGAAGAGATGTACCCCTTTATGAAAGTGTTGAGAGTAAGAGATGTACCCCGGTATAACTATATATGTAGAGAGTAAGAGATGTATCCCGGTAAAATTGGGTAAAGAGTAAGAGATGTACCCCTTTATGAAAGTGTTGAGAGTAAGAGATGTACCCCGGTATAACTATATATGTAGAGAGTAAGAGATGTATCTCGGTATAACTGGGTAGAGAGTTAGAGATGTACCCCTTTATGAAAGTGTTGAGAGTAAGAGATGTAA